GACTGTTAGAAAGAGAACCATGGTTAATTTTCATAGCCGACTGACTTACGGCCACGATAAACATTTCATGAAGCTGCATACCCAGCTTGTTAAAAAATATTTATTTTCAAACTTCTGTGTAACCCCAAAATTTTGTTATTTTGGGTACTCTCTTTATCTAGGCCCTTCTCACTTTAAATTTATTATTAAGTTTCGCTATTTCTTGCCAAATTTTACATTCACAAATGTAAATTTTCAAAGAAAACTCCTTCCTTTTTTATTTTCAGGAAAGATTTTGATGTGTATGTAAACGCTTTAAGAAATTCTAATAATTCTATTGCATGAAAGACTCTTTCATGGTGTGATTCTTATAAGCTAACGTAGTATACCTTGGATTAATGTATGTAACGTTTGTGCATTTGTAATTGTTATTATTTTACTGCATAATAATAAAAAAAGAACATTTAATGAACGTGCCTGTGTGATCGAGTTAAAGTTAACAGTGACAACAGCGCCTGCTACGGTCACAGAATTGTTTTGTAACACCGGAAGTGTCTGCCCAGAGTTTGTCGAAGTGCTAACAGCTAGGCTAATGCATTACAGAGCGCAATACGATTCTCTGAATGTGTCATCTCCACTCCGGACACAGATGAACACACTATCGCCATGCTACCGCAGCAGTGAACCTTCTTCACGGCAATAAAAAGAAACGACTGCATATCCTTCTGCTTATCCAAGCGGTGAAACTAGGCAGGTTAGGAATGATAGATCCCAGCTAATAATTCTGCATGTAGCTGTTAGCATGTAAACAAATAAAGGAAACGCGACTGACAGATTGATTATTTGAATGCACTGCATTCCCACATCATGCTATTAGAGATGTTTTTTAAATCTTCTAATTATTTATTTTTCAGTTGGCTCAGTAAAATCAATGTATGTGTTTTGACAGGCAGGACTGCTAACTTAGCTTGTGAGATTATGAAGTTGTCATTCAGTTTTGGCTTTTTATGGGTGTATAAAAATTACTGAACAGAATTGAATTTTCTGTTCCTGTAGTTTAATTAGATTACAATTAGGTTACTGTAATTGACATAGTGTCAATTGTGTGATATTTGTTCAATACAGTTTTTTCATTTGCTTATTTATTATGGCAAACATGTTTTCTATTTACTTTAACATCGTTTACTATGTTCTGTTTTTCTTTGCAGATTATATTTGAATTGACAGCAAACTCTAAAGTAGCATGTTTACACTTATATTTCTCCTCAAAGTGACACCATCACTGGTAGTGAGATGATAATAAACAAGTAGCTAAAAGCTTTTGAAAGCAAGTCATTGGGCATGATTTTTACACATACTGACCGCAATGTCCCAGTCCATCAATCTTGTAACACATAATGGACTGCTCAGTAATGCTTTTCAAACTGAGATGCATGTTGTTCAGCTTGTTTTGCACTTCTGAACTCTTCATCTTAAGTTGTTCTTTCAGGGGTGAATGACCGACGTGGTGCCTACCACCGCCCTCAGTGAAATAAAGCTCCGCCTACTCTGCCACGATGACATAGAGAGAATAAAGGTGCTCTGTGGAGAGTGGTTTCCCATTGAGTGAGTGCTGAAACATCTAACCAAACCATCTCTTTATACAGGTCAAGTACAAGTCTAACACACTCTGTTATTGGTTTGCTTGTGTTTTAGGTATCCAGACTCATGGTACCATGATATCACATCAAATAAGAAGTTCTTCTCTCTGACTGCCACCTTTAAAGGTGGAATTGTCGGGATGATTGTGGCAGAAATCAAAAGCAGAACGAAAGTGCACAAAGAGGTACAACTTTCATATGTATGTTGAGTCAATGACGCAGAGAGGAAAAACTGTGTCAGAATAAAAGAATGCTTGTTATAATTGTGCAATACATATTCTGTGCTTAAAGGAGTAGTTCATCCAAAAATTCAAATTTGAAAATGTACTTACCCTCAGGCCATCCAAGATGTAGATGAGTTTGTTTCTTCAACGGAACAGATTAGGAGAAGTTTAACATTACATCACTTGCTCACCAGTGGATCCTCTTCAGTGAATGGGTGCCGTCAGAAAGAGAATTCAAACAGCTGATAAAAACAGCACAATAATCCACAACACTCCAATTAATCATTAAGATCTTAAAGGGGTCATATGATGCGATTTCAATTTTTCCTTTCTCTGTGGAGTGTTACAAGCTCTTGGTGCATAAAGAAGATCTGTAAAGTTGCAAACACTAAAGTCTATAAACCAAAGAGATATTTTTTATAAAAGTTAAGAGTCAGCCATGCCTACCTAAAACGGCTCATTCTAACACGCCCCCACGTCTACGTCACGATGTGGGAAGATTTGCATAACGCCGCCCAAATGTTGACGCAAAGAAAGAAGGCATAACTTTTATTCTCGCTGTAGTATTGTTGCCGCATTCCGCCATGTCGTGAAGACGCTGTGTGCTTCGTTGTGAAAGCGAAACTACTTTGTTTGGTCTTCCAAAAGAGGACTATATCCGATTCGTCATGCCTAGAGCTGATCTGTACTGGTCGCTGAGAGAATACATCAACTTTCACCGTGGACAAAGCGGTGTCCAGCCCGCCTCTGAGTCCTCTGTCCATAATATATTTTTTTCTCCAGTAAAAATGTTGTCTCGCCTGAATCAAGAGAGAAATATGCACAGATCAAGAACAGCTTATGAAAACAGTCCAAAATAGTTCTAATCAAATATGCCAGTGGATTTTTATGTGAGAGGGACAACAGGGTTGGACTTTTTCACTAGTGGAATCTTTATATAAGTTATGTACTTTTTAAAGTTAAATCAGTGGCAAAATGATGGATTTGTTTCTTACAAACACAGATTTTCAATTCACAAGACAATAATTGATGGACTGGAGTCATGTGGTTTATTATGGTGCTTTTGTCAGCTGTTTGGTCTCTCATTCTGACGGCACCCATTCACTGCAGAGGATCCACTGGTGAGCAAGTGATATAATGCTACATTTCTCCAAATCTGTTCCCATGAAGAAACAAACTCATCTACATTTTGGATTGTCTGAGGGTGAGCAAACTTTCAGGAAATTTGTATTTTTGGGTGAACTGTTCCTTTAATGTCTATGAATATGTGAGAGGATTTTGTTTACTGTGTTTTATGCTATTGAATAATATATTTTTGGATGAGTAAACTGACTTTGACCATGAACAATAATTCCTCTGGAGCTCTGATGTGAAGGATCATAATTAAGATCATCTGACATATCCAATTGATATGATTAATTAGGTTACAGACTAAATTTCTGCACGTAGCAAAGGATTTGACTCTCATTAGAAAGGATTTTACCTCTTCATGGTACAGTTATGTCTCCTACTAAATCTGCTTGCAGTTACTCGCCGTGTTCATGAGTGCTTTTATATTATGCAAGTTAGATATTACCGTTAGTTCACTTTCAATGTATGATGAGTACTACATATCAAAGTCAAAGTGAAAATGAAACAGTACAGTTACTTGAATGCTTTTCCACAGACCAGACCATATAAAAGACAGAATATAATATACAGTTTTGCTATATACTTAAATGTACAATAAAACAATAATAATAATTCTAAAATTTCTTCTGAAAATTACGCTTTGCATTACAGGAGTAAATTAAATTTTAATATATATTAAAATAGAAAAAAGTTATTTTAAATTATAATAATACTTTACAATTTTGCAATTTTTGCTGTATTGTTGCTCAAATAAATCCAACCTTGGTTAGCATAAGAGACTTCTTTTCAAAAAGAAAAAAAGCTCCTTGAAAAATCTTTAACTCCCTCAATATGTCAATAACTAATAACAAAATCCAAATCATTACTTTTTGTTATTCCAGTGTTATCCCAGCTAACCATCTGTGTTTCTAACTTCACACATAATTCTCTCCACAAGGATGGAGACATCTTGGCCTCCAGCTTTCCTGTTGACACTCAAGTTGCTTACATCCTGAGTTTAGGGGTCGTGAAGGAGTTTCGAAAACATGGAATAGGTGAGAGGTGACGTTTGTCTCACCTATTCTTACAAACTGTGTGAACAGTATTCAAAGAGTTTGAATGGACACTTGTATTTCTTTCTCTCTCTTTGCAGGCTCTCTGTTACTAGACAGTCTAAAGGAGCACATCTCCACCACGGCACAGGACCACTGTAAAGCTATCTACTTGCATGTGCTCACCACCAATAACACTGCCATTCACTTCTATGAGAACAGAGACTTTAAACAGCACCACTATTTACCTTATTATTACTCTATACGAGGAGTGCTGAAGGATGGCTTCACCTACGTCCTCTACATCAATGGCGGACATTCTCCATGGACTATCTTATATCCTTTTCAAATAAATGCAGCTTTGATGATAATAAGATGCGTCTTTCAAAAACATGAAAAAAAAAAATTCTACCAATCCCAGACTTTTGAACGGTAGTGTGTATTCCCAGTTGTCTTGTAGTCTTCCTTGACTCACTCAGCACTGATTATATTCATCATATAGGTTCGGCACTGGCCAGTCTGAGCCCCTGCTCAATTCCTCAGAGAATTTACCGGCAAGCACAGAATCTACTGCGCAGTTTTCTGCCGTGGTCGGGCATCTCTTCCAAGAGCGGCATTGAGTACAGCAGAACAATGTGAGGATCGTCAGGTCGCAACAGTGCAGGGTACGCCTGACTCATCTACCTCTTTCCACTCTTAAATGTCTCATTCATTTTCTTCTAAGCTCTAATGATGTCTTATTGATCAGGTGGAAGCGATTGATTTGTTTGGGTCACATCAGATGCCGAAGAGAATTGTGAAGACTGATATCAGATCTCTCTGGTCTCGAGCAGTGTATTATATTTGTATATTTTACATGTATATACTTTAATTAATATATGCCTAGTCATTAGTAGATTGCCCTCTTAATATAAACTCTCCACTTCATGCCTGTAATTCTGCTGCTGTGTAGAACTATTCTATTGTTTATCCAGATTTTTAATATAAATAGATTTTTTTTATTTGTCCCTGTTCTGTATAGATGATTTTAGGGTTTGATGGAAGAAGTATGCATACTTTTTTCATTTAGTCACTTTCATGCCTGTGTCAAGCACTAGTGTTTGGTTTTGTGCAGGAACACTTTGACACTAAGCATATATTTTAGTCCCCAGTTTTAAGTTTTTAATAACCTTTGCACAGAGGCAGTGAATGTAGTGTTGCTATGAAGGGAAAATAACACCGTTGCAGACAACCCTCCGTCTCCCCAAATGTGTATTATGTGTTGCTGTCAAATTTAAATGCGAAAACTTTTTAAATTCAGATCATCTTAATTTAGCTAGAGAGTTGCATCCTGCCATTCCATGCAATGTACTTTCTGTTCTTTTAAAGGGGAAATAAATGAATGTTGTGGGGAGAGAAATGCTTGAATTTCGGTATGTTGCTGTGAATCAGGAATTTACACACAAAATAAACATATTTAAAAATAGATCACTCCTGCATTACGTGACTTACAATATGTTTGACCATCCATTCATGATGTCTTTGATGAAACACACTGGTTTATCGGCGAAAGGTGTTGTTTACAGAGAAACATTTCTGTGGGATTACATAAGGAACCTTATCATATGTGATTGGCCTTCGTGTATTTGGAATTTTGTGTCTTCCATTTCTGGATCTGTAAAAACAATTTGAGACAATTATTATAAAAAATTTTTGGAAACAAAATTGCATGCATGAATAACTGTTTTGAGCAAGTTATCAGTATAAGTAATAGAACCACTGTCACCTTGTGTTTTTGAGTTTGAGATTGTGTGTAAATCTACAAGTATTATCCCGTCTGTTTTAATGTTACATTCTTGTGAACTGGTACATTGTTGTGGGTTACATTTCATTGTGTTAATTTTTTTGTAAAGAATATTTTAGTCCCCAGTTTTAAGTTTTTAATAACCTTTGCACAGAGGCAGTGAATGTAGTGTTGCTATGAAGGGAAAATAACACCGTTGCAGACAACCCTCCGTCTCCCCAAATGTGTATTATGTGTTGCTGTCAAATTTAAATGCGAAAACTTTTTAAATTCAGATCATCTTAATTTAGCTAGAGAGTTGCATCCTGCCATTCCATGCAATGTACTTTCTGTTCTTTTAAAGGGGAAATAAATGAATGTTGTGGGGAGAGAAATGCTTGAATTTCGGTATGTTGCTGTGAATCAGGAATTTACACACAAAATAAACATATTTAAAAATAGATCACTCCTGCATTACGTGACTTACAATATGTTTGACCATCCATTCATGATGTCTTTGATGAAACACACTGGTTTATCGGCGAAAGGTGTTGTTTACAGAGAAACATTTCTGTGGGATTACATAAGGAACCTTATCATATGTGATTGGCCTTCGTGTATTTGGAATTTTGTGTCTTCCATTTCTGGATCTGTAAAAACAATTTGAGACAATTATTATAAAAAATTTTTGGAAACAAAATTGCATGCATGAATAACTGTTTTGAGCAAGTTATCAGTATAAGTAATAGAACCACTGTCACCTTGTGTTTTTGAGTTTGAGATTGTGTGTAAATCTCCTACAAGTATTATCCCGTCTGTTTTAATGTTACATTCTTGTGAACTGGTACATTGTTGTGGGTTACATTTCATTGTGTTAATTTTTTTGTAAAGAATCTAAACGGGAAATGTTTTACACTCTTATAGTAAAACAAATACATTCTTCATGTCACAGTAGGTGACATGAAATACTGAAAAGATTAACTGAAATGTTTTTCATAATCATACCTGACAGTCTCTGAATTGTGCAGTACCCTCTAGTGTTCATTGAGAGGATCGTAGACTAGAGGGGATTTTTTTTATGTTAACAAAATGAATTTTATTTGTTGTATTGCTCTTGTCCATTTGCATCCTTCCGTTTGTCTGTTCTTCATTTATGAATTGATTATTCATTCATGCATTAAAAGCATTTTGAGATGACCTAAGAGAGAAAATAAAGAAACTAAGATTGTACAAACATTTGTTTGAATAGTAGCCTATTATGTTACCTTTTGTTTACATCTCAAACTCAGAATGTTTGCGGCTTTACGGTAATTGTCATTTAATTACGTAATTTTGGATGGCTTCGGTTTAGCCACGCCTCTTTGGACCCTCATTCAGAGTGAGACAGAGCCCAGCAGCAAACGCTAAGCATAAGCAACTTCTTTCTTCCATTCATTTACCGTCTGCACCAAGCTACGATTGTTTTCTTAGCCTCGTGCACATTTGCTAACGGTGAGTGATGCTGTGATTCTTTTAGAAATGTTACATCCAAAGAAAGTGACTTTTTTTTTTTTTTACGAAGGTGAAAGTAAAGACACTTCTATGTGTTCGTGAATTATTCAAGCGATTCAATGAATTATAACGAGCAATGGTCGCTGTTTAAAATCTGTTAGACGTGTTTTTTAGTTTTTTTTTTAAACCTCTGTAAATGCTGAATTGATTAATTCTTCGACTTTAATCTGTTGCATCTTTGTTTCATCGGCATCGTTCTACTTTCTTGTTCATTTCTTTTTGAATATGTAACTTTTAAGGTTTCAGATATGATGTATTGTAGGAAGTTTGAGCAAATGAGTGAAAAAGTGGTTTAATTAATTCACAGAGGGACTAGTTGAGTTGGTGAAGCGAGGGAGGGAGGGGTCGAAGTAACAATTCAAGTAAACATGTGCCACAATTCTAGGAAATATACAGGAAAAATGTGTGTTTCGTGTAAAGAAGGTGTTTTGGTGGTAGACTGCGACTATGTTTCTGATACATTGGAAATCTTTGGCAGACGCGCAGATGTTGAGATAATATTGCAGTGTTGACACCAGATGACAGTGAAAAACAGATCCTCTCTAGAGATGTGCTCTGCTTCTCAGTTTCGCTTTACCAGAACAAATAACAATGTATCTTACTGTTCTTTATTGCTTTTGATTTAACGCTACAAAAAAGTGTCTCAGTGTTGGGTTGATGACTTAATCTTCAAGAACATTGTACAGTAAATGAAAGTACACTTACATACATAGGCTAAATAATGTTGAATTAACATCTTGATTAATGCATTACATTAGTTTAGGATTTATAAGACACATAAAGCTATATTTGTAAACATAAATGTGCTTTTCCATTTTAAAGAATTACATTTTTTTAACCCAAAATGAAAATGATATGTTCTCCCTTTACTTCTGAATGCAAAAGTAGACTCGGGCTTGACTGATGTATTTGCAGTCCCGGCGAAGTTAATTAATTAGTATGCTAATTCATGAATAGCCTAATGTTAATAAAGCTAAACGTTTACTTGCATTATAAATACAGATAAACAGTACTAAAAACTATTTTGGTTCTTCTCACTCCATAGGCTAACAAATCCTTTAGAGGAGACATATTATGCCCCTTTTTACAATATGTTGGCTAATATGAGTCTCTGGTGTCCCCAGAATGTATCTGTGGAGTTTCAGCTCAAAATACTCCACAGATCATTTGTTATATCATTTTGAAAATGGCTATTTTGAGTGGCAGCAGAAACACGCTGTTTTTCGGGCCTGTGTCTTTAAATGCAAATGAGCTGCTGCTCCCCGCCCCCTTTTCCAGAATAGAGCTGCTTGTACCTCCAAAGAACATCTGTTTTGGTTCTGATTATCATGTTTATCGCGCTGAAATCATGCGTTTTAAACCATATGAGTTTAAACTTCTGATATATGGTTTTCTGAGCACACACTCCGAAGCACACGGACAGAAAGCGGCTGTCACAGCATGTGAGTACTAAACTAAGTTCTCATTCACACACAAGTTTACGTTAAAAACACATGAGTTACAAAAACAGTCGGTTATGTCTGTGAAGGTAAACAGCTGGGAAATAAATCACGTTTATTTTAGATCTGTGTGGCAGCAGCAATATACAGTAAATTAATCATTAAATCCTCTGCTCTGTCTCCTCTGAGGCTGGGACTCTAAATAGTGTTCTGTGCTCATCTGTGCAGCCAAAGACAGAACAGTTACCATGTTTTGCTCAAACTTTCGCCATGGCATTAGAACTAGTACACCGTAGTCGCTTGCAAAATCAAAATTAAGGCACCGTGGGTGGAACAGCCTGATGTTCACTATTTTCCCCAATACTGAAGTCACGGAGTGATTCTTACTTAAAGAATCTCAGTGAAATAGTGCCACTCAGATGGGATGTTTTTGTATTTTGAGGGGGCTGATCCATTTTTTCATTGTTTTGAAAAACAGGAAAAACGATTGCATCATAACGGAGTATACGTCACAGCACTGTTCATTTCTTGTCTTGAAAATGATTTTGTGTCTTCACCTGAAGAACACATTGTGTTAATTACTTGTTTCTTTCTACCTAGACCACTGGGCCATGCTTTCAGTTGCGTAACTGATAGTTCTCCAGTTGGAATATTGGATTTTGGAAAGTGACAGCTTACCCCATTGGGACCTTATACAGACAACTAGAGGTCATAGTGTACTGAATCTGTTACAGTGACTAGAAGAAATATTTTGTGTGACCTGGTATAAAAACATTGATTTAAGAGGATATCTCTCTGTATAAACCAACCATTGAGTTAATGGAGAGCATAATCCAAAACTGTGCACATGCATGTTTTAATGTAGTTAAAGACATGAGGCTGGGTATCTGATCATCTGCTTACATAGACTAGCACAATCTGTTGCTGTTCAAACTCAAGACTAAGCTCATAGTTAGTCAGGAAAAGGATAATGAAATGGCAAATTATGTTAATTGTTTCTAGAGAAAGCACCTTGAGGTTTTGCTGTCAGAGAATACCATTGAGATGTAAATTAGAGTTCACTTCAAAGCCTCATGACAGAAAAGATTTGGCCTTTTCAACTCTACCAGTCACATACTTCTCTTACAAAGATCGTATTTTGCAAGCACCACCATGTGTGTGTCCTGTGCCTTTCATATCTTTTCATATTGTACAATCCCAACCTTAGCCAACCAGGACCAATTGGGTTGAACTAACAGGTGGAACTGCCTGTTATTTCATGCTATTTCATGCAATGATATTTAGATTTGTTTGTTGTTTCCGTATCAGAGAACTTCATGAAAGCTATTCTGATCAGAAGAACCATGCAGTGTTCAGCTGCTTGATCTGTGATGCACTATTTCCAGATATTTGCTTTTCGCAGGTTCTGGAAAAACTACCAAATGACCAGCCTTGAAATATTGTAGCTACTGAAAAGAATCAGTATTCAAAAAAAAAAAAACTTTAAGTACACAAGTCTTTTCACTGTCATATAATTGTAATAATATGTTTTAGCATCAATATTACATAGAATTACTTAGAAATCAAAAAAAAAAAAAAATTATTTCTGAATTAGGCCTATTTCAAGGACAACAGTGGCCTAAATGTGTCTGAATCTACTTCATAATTTTTTTTAAAAGATTTATTTTAGGCATTTTTGCCTTTATTATGATAGGACAGTTAGTTGACAGGAAGCGAGAGAGAGAGAAGGGAGACGCTGACGGGATCCGGAAAGATCCTCGAGCCGGGACTCGAACTCGGGATGCCCCGGAGCACAATATGTCAGATAAAAGGTGCATTTTCTGTTCTTAAAGTCCCATTCACCAAGATACCTACTCCTTTACCCCTGCTGGTGTACCTGCTGGTGTACCTCCTCACCCTTGAATTTATACATTTACTTTAATGATTAATAAAGTCAAGTCCCGCCCTTTATTTTTTCACATTCTAAAACCTGTTTCACTTTGAAATATGTCACAATACATAAATCAATTCAGCCATAACTTCTGTTACATGACTTTAAGTTTGCCAAGCAAAGAAGGACACTAATTATTAATCCAAAATCAAAATGGCAAGATGCAATAGAGGTTTGCTTTTGTTGCATTTAAATGGACATTGTGTTTTTCTAGTTGTGAAGGTTAAAACAATGTTAAGGTATTAATAAATAGAGCTGCTTGGGACTCTGACTTGTCTCGGACTCGATTGGTTAAAGACTCGGACTCGACTTAGGTGGACTCGAACCCAACACTAAATAGAGCTGTTGTAATTATTATTATCATTATTATTGTCTTTTTTATTTTAGTTAAAAAAATCATTAAAATGTTACTGAGCAACTGACGAGTAACACTGTTTCAGTGCAGATTTTCCTCGCACTTTGGACTTTGAACCCTGGGACCGCGAGCTCGTGCAGCACTGTTTGAATATGCAATTCATGCGTGTATTAGAAAACATAATGTTCTGCAGTTAATTTAATTGTTTAAGGCCATTTCGCGATTTCAATCATCACACAGTAACCAGCAACAATCACCCCTTCCTCTTCTCATTGAAGACATGCAATGCAGTTCTAAACTGTGCTTGTAATGATTTTTGCGTCTTCTATCTCGGAGTTTTAAATGCTTGCACATTGCCGACATGTTGGCTGCATTAGTGTGTGCCTCTGTTTGATCACGTCCTGTACAATTTATTCGGTGTTATCGCTTATTCGTGTTTTTTTGTTGTTGCTATTTTCGGCCGAATAATTTCGGTTGTCGAACATTCGGTGCATCCCTAGTATTTATTTTATTTGAAGAGTATGGAGGAGTTTGATGCTGATATAGAAATACAAATAAATAAATCTGTTAGGATGAATGCACATAAAAAGCTTTTTTTATGTTGTATTTATAATAGCTGTATTGTTGAAAACCCATCAGTCCTGGGAAGAGGAAACTACCCTACCAGTTTTGATTAACTGTTTCCTCCTGGTTGTGTCTTTTAATTGAACAACAGGTCCCTGCCTCCCTGTTTCCCCTCCTGCTAAATAATGCTAGTCTCAAGGCTGTTTGGAAATTTGTATATGTTACCAAAATATTCCAGTCATAATCTGACATTTCAAATGTGATCTCCACCCTTCTGAATCCTGCAAAAAAAACTAAGCTTTCCCTGTTTTCCATCATGTATTCTGCATTTCTAAATAATCAAAATAGGCATGCTTACTTGCATCAGCTTGTTGGTTTTTGTGGTT